GTCAGCCATTTTCCGGATATGGAAATAGGTGCAGGAGGGGAGGGAATGTGAGGACACCCAATCCTGGCTGAAGCGGCATTTGAACCCAGGATGTCAAGGCTCTTGCCTCACTGCTGCTGCTGCGCTGGAGCTTTGGTAGCTGTAATCAGTTCTTGCCGATTCATTTGTGATTTACTTGTGCCCTAAATTTTATTTAATGTGCACTTTTCCATTGTCAGTAATTGTTTTCAGCTTTATCGAGGTATTTCCCTTGTCATTTTAATTGATTATCTATAGCATCTATATACGTCATGTTAATTGATTGATTGATTCATTAATTCAACCACCATTTACAGAAGCCTTACCCTGTGAGAAGCTTCAGGATGAACTGAGCTCTATGCCACAGAGATGAATGGGACCACCTTGGTCCTTGTCCTTGAGGGCAGTAAATTGATAAGGAACATCCAGTGTGAGCTGGCTGTGGGAGCTGAGTGGGCTCCTAACCTAACTGGGGGGTCAGAAGAGGCTTCCTGATGTCTGAATTAGGTCTTAAAGGATAGGCAGAATGCAATGTTATTCCTTTACTATTGGCTATTAGAATTAAATATTAGGATGGGCATTTGACATTCATCTACTGAATGTCAGGAGTGTGCTATTAGTTTTCTAGCACTCTTCCAAGCTGGCATAACAGGTTTATATATCAGCCTTCATCACAAATGGCAGAAACATCCATTTGCCCAATGTTGGGTCATTTACAAAACATTTTCACACTCCTGGTCTCATTTGCTGTCACAAAAAGCTCTTTGAGAATGCTTTGTTTATATCCACATATTCCTCTTGCTTTGTATCCTAGTCAAACTCAAAAATTTTAATTTTCCAACAAGATGAAGTGCAGGGACTTTCCAGGCAGTCCAGGGCTTAAGACTCTGCACTCCCAATGCAAGGGGCACAGATTTGATCCCTAGTTGGGGAACTAAGATCCCAAATGCCGTGTGGCTCACCCAGAAAACAAACAAACAAACAACAGGATGAAGTGCAAAAGTTTTAAAATTAAATCAGATAATTTTGGAAATTATAATCATTCAGATTGCACTGAGAATTAAACCAGGGCCTGGTTTCTGTTCCTAACGTAGTCAATATCTCCTTCTCTGGGTCTTAATTTCCTCTACTATAAAATGGCCATGTGAAGGAAATTTAGGCTGTAGGATTAAATGAGATAATGGATCTTAGACCCCAGAACAGCCCCTGGCTCATTAAAGATTGGTTCTCCTAACATGGTCTCTAACATCCATTTTCCTGCAATTCTGAGGCATTCTTAAAGTAATACTCCAGCCCACACTTGTGTGCCAAGGCTCATTCCTAAAGAGGTGCTTTGAGAGAGAGGTCTCAAAGCCGGCTCATTAACATAGCTGGGACAAAACCATTTCACAGTCTGAGTCAATCAGATAGTAACAGGCAAAGGATAATGTTTTGACACTGTCATTTTGTCCCTGAGTTTGTTTTTGTTGGGTTGGTTGCAGAAAAAAAATTGGACGGGTAGAAATAACACAAAATAAAACTGACAATGGCTAAAACTACACGTGGTAAAAATTTCTTATGGATGGAAAAGCAAACTGAATGATCCCATCTTTGTTGGTAACATTGAACATTGCAAAGTTGACCCCTGGGAAAATTCCACTTGGTAGAAATAATCAACACAAAATAAAACTGCCAATGGCTCAAATTGCTTCCAAGAAAAGGTGGACTTTGTGGAAATAATGACTAGAAATTTCATGACAGCTGAAGCAATAATCAGTAAAAATTGATAAAGATAAAAGATAACAGATGAATCAAATCTTATAAAACGGATAGAGAAAAGGATATATCTTATGAAATTTCAATTTAGAAAAAAGTCTAGGAAAGTCAGAAATTGTTTGTGCTATATAGAAAATTTATCAAGAAATTAAATTGGCTTAATAGAACAAATTCCTTAAATACTTTAATAAATTCATTAATAATAATATAATTCTGAGTAAAAAGTTTACATGCCAAGAATTAGATGCAGGGATTTGGAGAGAGAATTCTCAAATTAGATGAAGGGTTGGATTGTAAGTGGCAATTTACAGTCTTCAAAGCACTTTCATACCCACTGTTTTATTGGACTCTCCTAATAACGTTATGAGGTGACATGCCAGGAATCATCCTTTCATTTTACAGACGTAAACATGAGGTTCAGAAAAAAAAAAATTAAGGGGCTTACTAAAGGTCACCCAGCATGTTCATGGCAAGGTCTAATTTAGGATCTGATTACCAGATTCCTAGTCTGGTAAGCTTTCTCATACCTATTCCCGTAGCTCAGATATGCTTTCCTCGCTGGACAGATCCATCCCTTTTAATTTTGATTGCCCATCTCCCACTGTCTGCCAGTTGGAGAAGTGGAGAAGAGAAGGAGAAGGAATGAAGTGGGTTTAGAAGATGGGATGGTCAGTGCAACACTCAGAGAGGGGAAGGGACATAGCCCACATTTCATAGGCACATTTCTTATTATTCTCTTATTATTCTCATTTCTTATTATTCTTATTATTCTTATTATTCTCAGGACTATGGACTAAATTAACCTTTGATTCAGGCAATCTGGGCTTTCTCTGATAGGCCTGTGCTTCTCCAGCAGGCTGGCTAGTGGAGCTCGAATGTTCTGGTGTTTTCTTGCAGAACGGTGAGGAATAATTACACAAAATCTAAAATACTGTAATTGAATACTGGATTTATGTTAAGTCACAGATCATCTGATACTATATTCCATATTCTAGAAGATCTGGACACAGAAGGAAACAAATTTTTTTTTTTTCACGTGCCATGTGGGATTTTAGTTCCCCCACCAGGGATGGAACCTGTGCCGTGTGCATTGGAAGTGCGGCGTCTTAACCACTGGACCTCCAGGGAAGTCCCAGAAGGAAACAATTTTTAAGTGTAAGACTTATTTCTTCAGTCTATAGACAATGCTTTGTTTAAATATTGCTTTGTAGACCCTTTACAATAACTTTATTTCTCCCTCTTCGTTCCTCTTCCCCACAGTGATCTCTGGCTCACAGATTAGAAACCATCGCTAGAAGAATTCAGACACAAGGAAAATCAGTATGCCTAAAATGTATGTTCTAGGGAAGGTAGGACTTTGGCTTTAGTTTCAAGAATGAGTAGGAGAAAAGGAGGAAATGGGTGTGGAAAGACCAGAAGAAGAAAAAATTTGAGAAGAGACAATGAAAATTGAGAAAATCCTCCCTACTAACTTAATGTTCTTTTGTGAATTGTAAGTGACCACCATTATTTGTTTTACTTATTTATTTATTTATATTTATTTGTTTATTTTTTGAGGTACGCGGGCCTCTCACTGTCGCGGCCCCTCCCGCTGCGGAGCACGGGCTCCAGACGCGCAGGCTCAGAGACCATGGCTCACGGGCTCAGCTGCTCCGCGGCATGTGGGATCTTCCCGGACCGGGGCACGAACCCGTGTCCCCTGCATCGGCAGGCGGACTCGCAACCACTGCGCCACCAGGGAAGCCCTACTTATTTATTTTTAAAATATTTGGCTGCACCGGGTTTTAGCTGTGGCACGTGGGATCTTTGTTGCTGAACGCAGGACTTTTAGTTGCAGCATGCAGGGTCTTTTAGTTTCGGCATGCGGGCTCTAGTTCCCTGACCAGGGATTGAACCCAGGCCCCCTGCATTGGGAGCTCGGAGTCTTAGCCACTGGACCACCCGGGAAGTCCCCACCACTATTTGTTTTAATAAGTGGAAATGTTGAGCTTCCAGAAAAACCAGACAGACCTCGTTTTGGAGCACCACTGAGGGCAACAGAAAGCCATGAAAAGTTTTTAGGTAGGAAAGACAGGTTGTTGTTGGATTTGAAAATTATATTTTTTGAAAATAGTTTTATAGCTTAAAAAGTTATGTGCTCTTTTAAAACAATTCAGGCAATATGAAAATGAAAATTACTTGAAATCTGACACTCTTTACTCCAAGATAATCACAGATGTTATTTTGGGGAACCTCTTTCCTGAAATCTTTCTATGCTTATAGAACATTGTCTCAAGCTTCATATAAATTAGATCATTCTAAACTTGCTATTCTCTTATCAATTTTTTTCCCTCGAGAATAAATTGTGAATAGCTTTTCGGCTGCTTAGTAATGCATTGTTTGTATATATAATTTAACCAGCTCCTGTTGAAGGACATTTACGTTTACCTCACTGTAATCAACAATCTCAGATAACAACCTTGTTCATTCATCTTTTCCAAATTGTTTGATTATCTTTCTAAGGTAAATTCTTAAAAGTAGCGGAGCTGGGTCAAGAAGTACGCTCTTTTTATATTTGGCTTCAAGCTGCCAAATCGTCTACAGTTTTGCAGGGAGAGCAGAAGGAGGCTGCTGCATTAGCTCTGGTGCGAGACAGTGGCAACGGGTATTGCGAAGAAAGTACAGACTTCCAAGTGATCTAGCCAATGTAGGCCTGTTCTGGGTGGGTTGACATATTTCCTTCCTTTTTTCCTCTCTTTCACTTCTTTTTCTTAACATGGAGGAAGAACTGAGAACTGCATCATCTCCCAGCATTTCGCAAGGACCACACTCCCTGGGAACTGTAGTACCGGGTCTGAGAAGGGTCCGGAAGGAGGGCGAGAGTCTGTGGGCATGCTGGGAAATGTAGTCCAGCGGGAGGTGGTGGCGGGGCTCCGTGTGGGGAGGTGTGCGCGCGCGTAAAGAAGGCGGAGACGCCGCTAAAACCGTCCCTTGGGGGATGGGGCCGCTGTGGTGCCTAACTTGCCTCCTATGTGGTCTTTGAGTCTACAAAAGCCACCCGCAGATGGTTGGCTTTATTCCATTGTCCGAGACCAAGGAGGGAATGGTCCCTCCGCATCGGGCGCGCGCCGGGAAGCGCCGGCTGCGCGCGGACCGGAGTGGGGCATGCCGGGAGTTGTGGTCCCGGCGGGCTGAGGCTGTGGGACGTGTCGCGGCGCTGCGCTGGCTCCTCCTTCCCAGCCCTTCTCAGCGGTTCCCCCGCCCCTTCCCTCAGCCTCCTCCTCCCTAGCCCGCAGCCCAGCGTCCCCTCCCCCCACCCGTCGGGCTCCTCGGCGGCTACTGCAGAGGATTCAGAGCCGAGTCGCTGAGAAGGAGGAGGCTCCCAGTCCCTGCGCGCCATCCGCCACCTTACTGGACACGGGCGAGGGAGCGAGAGCGTCGCCTCTGTAGCCTTCATAGAAGACAAGGGCATCGCCGCTTCAGCTGCCGCCGCCGCCGTTTTCGCCTGCAGCAGCTCGCCGGTGAGGAGATCACCCCCCCACCCTACCCCGGTCCGCCCTCCCTGAGCCTGGGCCGGTGGTACTGGGGAGAATGAGAGTGGGGGCTGCGGAGCCCCTTCGCGGGTTGGGGGAAGGGGGTTGAGGTCGCGATGGAACGGCGGGCTGGCTGGGGGGACTTGTCCAGGCGGGGGTGGGGTGAGGGTGGGACACAAGCAGGTTGGGGGGGGAGAGACAAGGGAAGGGGACTTTTAATGGGAACGACCTGGGACAGGAGCGTGGGGTTGTAGGGTTGGGGTGGGATTTGGATGGTTTTGGGCGAAATGGATGTTGAGACTGGAGTGGGATGGCTTTTAATGGGGGAGGGGACTGACTGAGGGTGGTGGATTTGGGGTTGGCCTGGAGCAATTGACAGCTTGGGATCTGGGCCGGGTTGCGGGGTAAGGGGTTGATTGTAATAGAGAGTGCGACTGCAGAGTTGGATAGGACCCTGGGGGGTGACTAATTCAGGAGGGTGGAATTTGGGGTGGACCTAGGGCAGGCTGATTGAGGTGGTAGGAGCCGGGGGTGAGGAGGGGCTTGGCATGGGCTGAGACCTGAGCTTGAAGTGGGCGCTTGCCATCTGGGGGTGGTGGAATTTGTTGAGATTTTATGGAATAGCGTGGGTTAGGAGAGCAGAGGAGGTAGAATTCGGGGTTTTCCTGGGGAGTGCTTATGGAGGTTGGAATAGGAGCTGGTGGGGGTGGGACTTTGAATGAGGGGAGTGTGAGGGTGAGCTGGCAGGAGGGGGTAAAGTAGAAGTTAGGCCCAAAATGGGCGGACAAGGATTGGAATTGGGCAGCTAGGGGAAGGGGGGGAGCACAGTGGGTTGGGATTTAGAGTGATCTTAGAACCACTGGTGGCTCCCTGGGTACAGGGTGAAGGCAGAGGGCACAGAAGATGCTTCTGGGCTGGACTCACTGAAAGAATAGTGGCAGGTGGTGAGCAAGGTTGGGGGATGGTATCTTGAAGAAAATGTCCCTTGGCCAAGGTGGCAGAGGGAGTTTTGGAGCAAGAATGTCTGAGATGAACTGATCGGACTGGAGAGGTGGTTGCTGCTAGTGAGGTAGCAGATGTGGCTAATTAAGGAGTGGGAAACCTGGGGTTGTTGGTATGGAGGGGGCAGGGAGGATGGAGAGGGGCAGTGAGCAGTGCTGGGAAGAGGTGGATTGGATGATTCTGGAGAAGAAGGATTGAGATGGCCTCCAAGAGACACAAGAGGGTTGGGGGTTGGACTTAAATGGACAGCTTTGGAGGCTGTGGTTGGGGAGAGAGAAGGTACATAAAAGACTTTTCTAGAGGACTTCTTAAGCTGTTAGTTTTTGTTTGTTTCACTTGTATTAGTATCATATTTGGAAGTAAACCAACACAAAGGGTAAAGTTGAGAGAGGCTTCAGTTAAGGTAGAATTGAGGAGGGGAAAGTATCTTCTTTTTTTTTTTGAGGAGGGAAGAGTATCTTCTATTATTCATGTATTATAAAAAGAAAGTTGGGGGAGAAAACCCCACTCCAGTAACTAAAGATGAAGAAGATGAAACTGGAATGTGATAGATGTCTTTCTATTTGATGTCTCTGCCTTCTCCTTTCCTCTCTCTTCCAGGTGCATTTAAAAATTAGTCCTGGAATTTGGTATTACATAGATTTGATGAGCTTGAGGTGGTTAAGGGAGCATTCCTTGCTTGAGAACTGATGAATGAGACTGAAAAATACAAGGCTGAATTTATTTCCCAGTCAGGCAACGTGCATGTATTCAGAAAGAGCTTAGGTCTTTTTTTTCCCCTCCTCTTAAAATTGATTGCTTGAAGACTCCATTTATTGGTGTCCTGGTTTGCAAGGCAATTAGGCCCATCATTGTATTGCAGGCTAATAATCCAGAGATGAATCTTGGTACCACCGTTTTATGTAAACAGAGAGAAGACAGAAAATATGGAAATGTCATAAATATTCATTGGTGAGATAGTTTGGTATTTTCATTTGATTCTCTTTTGACATTACCTGATAAGATTTAAAAATAATTGGACTATATTTCTGTAGATTGAATTTTCTTCTAAAGGAATTCAGGTGGTTAGAATTCTGTCAGATGTGGATAAAAACATAAAAAATCATTTTTATTTTATTTTTTTAGGAGATGTAAGCGTATTCCATTAACTACAAAAACAATACCTCCATCTATTCATCAGAAATTTTATTTAAAGCTTAATGATGTGCTCATTCTCATGGCAGAAGAGTGATGTTAGAAAGTAGAGAAGGGTGTTAATGGAGGAAACATCTTTAGGAAAATAGTTTTCTGGACTTAATTGCATTAACTGTGATATGTTAAACCTGAAGTGGCTGTTGATTAGAGCTTAGACTGGGGAAAAAATGGGGAGGGATGTAAAGAGGGATGTAAGGCACCAATGGGATCAAAATAATTCTTTTTTTGTTCAAGCTTCAGGGTTCAGCTTGTAAACAAACCATTTTCCTTGGCCTTCACAATTGAACACATGAAAATACCCAATATTAAGAATCTTTTTTCTTGCGGTACGCGGGCCTCTCACTGTTGTGGCCTCTCCCGTTACGGAGCACAGGCTCCAGACACGCAAGCCCAGTGGCCATGGCTCACGGGCCCAGCCACTCCGCGTCATGTGGGATCTTCCCGGACCGGGGCACGAACCCGTGTCCCCCGCATCGGCAGGCGGACTCTCAACCACCGCGCCACCGGGGAAGCCCCAAGAATCTTATTTTTTTATTGTAGCTCCAAAATGGGCAGAATGATCGAAGGTTGGACTTATCCTTGGAATTGAAAGTGTTTTGTTATGAGGAAGCTTTCTGTATTGCAATAAAAATCAGGTTTGAGCAGTTACCCATAATTGGATGAGAGAGTAATCAAACTAATGCAAGCATTTCTCCTCATAACTTTACTCTGGGGTCCAGACGTTGCTTTTGTGGATCTGCAGGCTTGATCTAGAGGTGGGATATTTATACGAAAGCCCTAGCTTTTGAGAGCTCAAAATGGAAAGTAATCGCTTGGGAGAAACGTCTTGGTGGATTTTCTTTTTCCCCCTCACAGCTGTGTTCACCTGTGCAGTAGAAATGTATATAAAGTGTTTTAGTATCTTCACCTCATTTGATTCTTCCAGTATTCTGGTGAGAAGGGGAGAGCAGTGGAGGTATTGGTAGACAGGTACCTTGGTAGAATGAATAGCTTGTTAATTTAGAGGTTGAGAGTCCTGAGTTCAAATCCCCGTTCTACCACTTGATAACCTAGTGATTTTAGTAAAGTCATTAAAAACCTTTCATACTTAGTGGTAATGGTTGCATAACATTGTGAATGTACTTACTTCCACTAAATTGTACAATTAAATACAGTTAAAATTGTAAAAAAATGAACAAAAAACAGTTGTCAAGGAGCTTTCAGTGACATGGGAGAGATAGATGATTTAAATGTCGTGAGAAAAGTGAGGCAAAACTAACGTAGTGGTCAAGACTGTGGGTTCTGAAGTTTGTCCACCATTTACTACTAGCTGTGTGACCTTGGGCACAGTGGTCTCATCTGTAAAATGGGCATAAGAGAACTGATCTCATAGGGTTGTTTTGAGGATTAAACAAAAGAATCCATGGTAAGCATTTAATACAATGTGTTACATTGTATACATTAAAAAATATTAGATATTATTATTAGGTAGAAGAGACTAGAATGTGAATAGCCTTGTGTGTCCTACCATTGAGTTCTTAGTATTATGATCTATTATTTAGTAAGGAGGTATTACTTTGTATTATTATCTCACAGTTTATCTGCATATTAGTATGTTGGTACTATAGGCTAGGAACTTAAAAAAATATATATTTATTTATTTGGTTGCGCTGGGTCTTAGTTGCAGCTCGCAACTAAGCCCATGAGCCTTTGTTGAGGCATGCGAACTCTTAGTTGCGGCATGCATGTGGGATCTAGTTCCCTGACCAGGGATCAACCCAGGCCCCCTGCATTGGGAACGTAGAATCTTAACCACTGCGCCACCAGGGAAGTCCCTAGTCTAGGAACTTTATTAAACAGTAAAGTACTAAACATATATTAGTTGTTAGTTTCCTCATCTGTAAAATAAGAAGAAAAACTGCTGAGAGGTAAAATGACTTGCTTAAAATTACACAGTGAGTGGAAGAGTTTGGGATACAGCCCTGAAATTCTGATTCTTCAACCCTGTTTATATCTTCTTTTTAAATTGTGAGATAAACCATATGTATAAAAGTGCATATAATATAAATCTTCAATTTAAAGAATGATAGCAAATTGAAGGCCTACGTTTTTGCTACCCAGTTTAACAAAAAGGAGATTTTTAGTACCTTTAAAGCTTCTTGTGATTCCCTGCCTGATTGAATCTCTGTCCTTCTCCCTCAGAAGTAACCACTTTCCTGAATTTTGTGTGAATCATTCCCTTGCTTTTAAAAATAGTTTTACCAAACAAGTATGTATCCTAAACAATATATTTTGTACTTTTATAACTTTATATAAATAGAATCATAGTGTAAGTATTTTTCTGTGACTTTCTTTTTCCTTATTTATTATCCTTATTTTTTAATTTTAAAAGAGCTTTATTTCTTCCACCATTAATTAAAATAACTTGCTTATAGCAGAAATTGAAAATTACAGAAAAAGTAAAAGGAAGCAATATTATTGTCTATAGTCCCATTACTCAGCAACACTTCTTATTTGTATGTATATTATATATACACATATAAATATATATTCTTTAGTATATGTCTGTAAGTATGCGTGTACATACATATATGGGTAGTCTAGATGGCAAGAGGAAGCCAGTTTGCATTTATGGATGATCAGATTATCCAGATGTGGATCAGTCATACTTGGAAATAGGAATGGGAGAGGGTAGTAGCAGCCTTTGTGAGCTGTGAAAGAACAGCATCTTAAGAGTTTTTTCTTATTGGCGGATTTTTTATTTACTAGATACTGATTCTTTGTAATACCAGCTCAGAGCTTCGTGTCATGTT